ACCAGAGAGGCCTGAATTGTTGTCATATGTTCTGCAGTTGATGGTGGTTGGTGATGGAAGGTTAATGTGAGTATTCGTTCTAGAGAGTTTGGTAATCTGTAAATGGGAGTTCATGGGTGAAAGCAATTGGGGGTGGAGGTGTGCAGGAGATGGGTTGCAGCTGGGTGTTACTGGATTTAAGGAGCTAACCTTGAGACTGATCTTTGGGAGAAAAGTATCTGTTGTATTTTGGTGGTGGATGCTGCTGGTTTTCCTCCCAGGTCTGTTGGATTTTTCAGTATCCTGACCTGTCTCCTGTAATCTTGGAATCCTGGAACCTTGAACCTTTTGACTACGGTATAGACTCTTGATCCCTGGACTTTGTTTATTGAACTCTTGGCATTTGACCACTGGACTGGACCCTTTTGACTACGGAGTTGTTTTTGCTATCTTTATGTTTTGGTCTATTAAAACAGCCAGCAAGTAAGTGCTGTTTTAATTAAACTGTTTGATAAAACTGGGAGTTTGATCCATCTCTACCTAAATAAGGCAGAGCCCTGGCAATGTGACAATTCTCCTCCAAGATTCCAATCTTTCCATTTTGGGGCAGTGGGGACTTCCATCTCGGATCCCAATGTGGGATCCAGATTCGTGTCCCCATAGCCATCATGTGCTCCCCAGGCTCAGATAGCCCAGGGAAGTGGGATGGCAATCCCTCCCTGTCTCACAGCACACAAATTTTCCCCCAAAAAGCAATGAAATCTCCACTTACAGACTCTTCAGTGAGCCTGGCAGCTTCGGAGGAGGAGAGGGGGCTCACTCCTCTCATGATCATTTAATGTTGATGAAACAGGAAGGGAAGTTTTTCCAGAAAACAATGTACATAAAGAGGAAAATTGATAATATACAAATATATTTGAATGATACTATATTAATTGCCCTAAACCTTCCACTGGGAAGGGAAATGGGCATTTGACTTGTATAGTGAAAGTTCAATAAATAAAATTTGTCTTTGTAACCTATCTGAACACAAGAATTACCCTAATACTAACAAGAGTCAACTGACATGGCTGCCTACCTCAAGGTCAGTCATCAGTATGTTTAGAAAGAGTCTTTGGAACCAGCAAGCCCAGATTAAGCTAAGTTGGGCAGAGGCCAAATCCTGACCTAGGCTTTGCACTTTCACCTGACTTAGAGGCTGTAAAAACAGTGGAACTATTTCCTAACCGGAACCAGCTGAAACTGTCTTGACTGCCATCCAATATCTCCCCCACCCCCCGGTCCCTTCCCTGGCTCAAGCAGCTTGGGGAAATCTCACAGCTGTCCAAGTAGGTAATGTGTCATGCCTGGGGACAGCGATGAATGTGTGTGTGAGTGTGAGTGTGAGTGTGGGTGCTGTAGGCTGGCTGCTCAATGGTGCTGAACTATATTCAGTGTAGCTGGGTAGAAAGGAGTAGAATCCATGCCACCTACAAGGCAGTTGAGGGTGTCCCTGATAAGACAGCATATGGAGAGAGTTTGTCATTCTGGATGCCAGGTAAGCCTCACGTTGTCAATCACTGTAGAGGGCCCCTATGTCTCTTAAAAGCAGGCACTCATTCTATGCTTTGGTGCTGGCAAACAGCCATATGTTCTATGCACAGTGACTTATTTTATAGGCACGAAGCTTTTAAACATTATTGTAGTGATGGGGTTCAAAAGTGCATTGTCTCACTAGTATTCTGTAGCAATACAACTAAATGAAGAATTTGCAATGAGTTTGTTCCTGAACTTTTATTGTGACTTCTACATTTTATTTTCATATATGTCACTATTATATTAATCTTTAGAATGTTAGCTGTCTCCTTAGTTCAATGTGAACATAGTCTGATGAGTATGTTCCAAAAATTCTTCATTCTAAGAATTTGCCTTAGGTATGGCATGATTAATATCGGGCCACAGAACAAGTTGTTCTATTAATGCTTTTATTTAATCCTGTCATGTCCCTGCAGAGGTATTTATGATTCTATAGAAGTCTTATTAGGAGTGACAGAGACCCATTCCACAAAACTTCAGAAAAAAAAATACATCATCATCACAGGAAAGGAAAGTTAGTATGGAATGCCACAGACAATTGCTATTATTTCTAGACAATGTGAGATGGCAAGTTATCCAGTTGTTGCTGGAAGACAGATACTGTGATAAAAAGAGCAGTACAGTTTATGGGCAACATCAAAAGAATCCACAAGTGAGTCTGTGTGACTTAATACAGCCCTTCTTTATGACCTTAGTTCTGTCACCCCTGCCATTAATTCCTGTCAATTGGAGAAGTTGGTTGGTTATATCGCTAAAACAACAAATATAAGGGAATGGTATGTATAATCTATGCACACTTGAAAAATTCTAATATCAGTTTGCATAACACTATCAGCAGTTAGCTCTTTTAAAGCCAGAGTAGTTGTTTCCTCTGGAAAAAGATGTTTCTTATGAAAATATTCACATAACCAACAATATTAGATGGCCATCGATGCCATTTTCGCATTTTTTTGTGACACTTGACCCCTTGACTTTGAATCTGATTTTCTTTCAACCTTAATAAAATACTGTTTGGAATTTAGTGAAATGAGTTTGATTATATAATTAATTAGGATTACAGTGCTAGACTAAATTTTCTTAATAGTTGCCATGTGCCTTAGAATCAACTCCATCTTTGCTGACACTGTCATAGGATTTTCTTGGCAAGATTGACTCAAATGACTTTTGCCATTGCCTTCTTCTAAGGCTGATAGAGTGTGATTTCGCCAAAGTCAGCCCATGAAGCTTTAAAGTATGGACCTAAAGCAACAGGTATAAGCTAGTATATTATGTGATACATTTAGATTAATATCTAAGTAGAAATTTGATATGAAATTGGAAGCAGATGGAAGGATGACAAATAGTGTGAGTTGGAAAGAAGTCGACTTTGTACTTTTACGAACATACATTGTGTGATTATTGTTAAAGCTCTTTTTTAATCTTGAGTTTGTTTTTGGTTCATTAGCATTTTGATATATAAGCTAATTGCATATTTTCTATAAATGTGAAAAATATAGAGGGAACACTGGATTTCAGTGTAGTAGTCTAATGGGATTTCTAACGAGATGCCTGCTTCACCACCACATCATACCAGACTATTTTTAGCGAGAGATAGAAACTGAAATTATATAAATTCCTTTGTAATATCTTTTGATCAATTCATTTGAATATTTGTTGGAATCCCATTCGACATGAGATAACAGTTCCCAAAACATAGTGTAATTCACAAAGTACTCTGTTATCTAGCTGCACTGTTCTAGTAGACCAGCTGGACCCTTGAACAGGAGTGGCCAAGTTTTGCAAGTCTGGTATTGCCAGACCTCTTCAGGGCTGCACTTCTATTACCACAGACAAACTGACTGCTACTTTGACAATGGCAAATGCATAACACAAGGTGTTTAAATTTTAAAATGAACATTTCCCCTCATATTAAATGAAGGATGTGCTTCTCATATATCCTGTTTGCTAGCAGAGCACACTTCTGGGAAGCATGCAAGAGTAAGAATCTACTTTTAAACAAAGCATTGGGTGTACTTGTTTTAAGGTGAAAAGAGGAGGCAGAATTTTTTTTCATGGAAAATCAAAATGGAATAAAAATGGAGTGAGCAGTATATGCATTCAACCTCTTCTGTTGACATTGTTGTTATGTGCCTTCAAGTTGTTTCTGACCTATGGTGACCCTAAGGCAAACCTATTATAAGGTTTTCTTGGTAAAATTGTTCAGAAAACATTTGTCATTGCTTTTCTCCGAGGCTGAGAGAATGTGATTTGCCCAAGATCATATAAATAGGAATAACTATCCCGTGACCACAGGGCATGGGAATATGAGGCCTTATCTCTAGATCTGAACACTCGCAATACCTGCAAACTAGGAATGGGGTGGTACACATGATAGTTGCATTCCATGTGGATTTTGAGGATCTGGTCTGCAGCTATAGCTGTTGTTTACTGAGTTTGGCTTGTCAGTAAGCCAGCACACTCTTCAGAACGCAAAATCTTGAAATAGATTTTTGGAATTAACACTTGTAGAACTGATTGCTTTTTCACTCTACAGTTATAGCACTATGATTCCTCTTTAACATATACAATCCTAGGATTTGCGGTTTAAGGAAGAGTGTTTGGAAATCTCAGCCAAAGACCATTGTTAGTGCCTCTGACAAAATTACAAAACTCAAGATTTGGAGTCCCCAGTGGTGCAACAGATTAAACTGCTGAGCTGCCGAACTTGGTGACTGAAAAGTTAGTGGTCTGAATCCAGGGAGTGGGGTGGGCACCCACTGTGAGCCCCAGCTTCTGTCAACCTAGCAGTTTGAAAACATGCAAATGTGAGTAGAACAATAGGTACCGCTCCAGCAGGAAGGTAATGGCACTCCATACAGTCAAGCATCTACAGGTAACGCTGGCTCTTCGTCTTAGAAACGGAGGTGAGCACACCCCCCAGAGTCAGACATGACTAGACTTAATGTCAAGGGGAAACCTTTACCTTTACCTCTCTATGGTAAAGTGGAATCATGCTGCTAAAATTGCTGTCTGGAAGAGCTCCCAGTGCAGACTGAAATAAATCCGTATCAGGCTTTAGGTGTTCTTAGCCCTGTAGAAATACACTGTTCCATAGAGTCCAAGGCAGTCTTCAATATGTTGAACAAACATGTATGAAATGATTTGGTTAATGTTTATTCTAATAAAATTTTGGGAAAGCAATCCACCATGTATAGCTTGATTCTGTGCTGCCAGGAAGTTTGAAAATAATGCTCAAATAATAACAAGACTGGTTTCTTCCTCTGTTCATCCAGGCTTGGCACTGAGAAATATGTAAACTAAATGAAAATGGAGGCTGCATCAATATGATAAAGGCTTCAGATAATTTTTTTTCTCCGCATCAATAAAAGGCAAGTTACAAATTTGCAACACATTTCTAGTGGCCCAGAGATGGAGACTGAAAACAAATAGAACTCTCAAATAAAAAATCCAGGTACCAAAGAGCAAAATTTAATGAAAGCCAAAACTGTTAAATATGGATTCTTGTTGAGAAAAAGGTCAATGTCCCTTCCCCAACTCCATTATTCTATATTTAAGAAAAGTGTAGTAAAAATACATATTACAAGTTAACATTTCCCCTCTTTTTCCGTGTCATTTTACTTTTCCTCCTCCCACCCTTCCACTGATCAAAAACATTTGAAAGACGCATTTTGTGTCCCATTGTCACAGGCATTTGTCCTATCATAGAAGGCTCATCCCATACACCCATCTAACTGGCTGGCTCAATTATCACATAGATCTTTTTTCATTTGCCACAAAGTCAACAGAAAGTGTTGGTTTTTTTTTAAAAAAAGTTTCTTATAGGACTCATTTTTTTCAATTCATATAGAAGGAAATTCTCACTCTCTGTTTCCACTGCACTTTAAGGTGGAAAATAATTACTGGGAGCTATGAATGTTCTTGAGACTGAAAGAAGTATCACATTTTTGTGGACATCCAAAAAGATTTCCCAATAAAAAGCAGGCTTGATTTGGTGTGCACTGTAAGCCACACACACAGAACTAAACTTGAAAACAAAAACATAAGGCAGACATAAAAATTGAAAAAAATTACAACCACACACTGAGAACAAGACTGTGAAGAGTTATTATCAGAGGCGAGATCCCAGTCTTGACAGATAGCTGAACGAAAAGATGAAGACAGAAAGACTTCCATTGGCACTGAGAGAAAACAAACAGGCACTAGGCATGCTGTGCCCTCTTAAGGGGATTTGCAGTTTCTGTGTTGCCAGTCTTACAAAGGCGCCATCTCAAGACAAAAGGTGGAGGGAGGACAGCAAAGTGTTAAGTGGAAAAAATGAGTTCCTAGAGTCTAGTCTTTAATGGTTGTTGACACTGTACAAGCACAGCAAGTTGTGTATGAAAGCTTTCTTGTTTTAGAGCCAGTTGCCAGTTGCACTTTAAAAAACAAAATAACTCCCACACGTGCTACTTCTGGATGATCCCTTCAGCAAAGCCTTGTCAGTCTGAAGCCTCTGGTTCATTCTTGTCCAGTCTTTTTGCCTCCCTTCCTGTCTCCTGTTTTATGCATTATGTTACCCGCAGGTCTCAGAGATTAGGTATAATGAGTTTCTGTTAAACTGCTGGGTTTGCACTGGCACTTGGAGGAAGTTTTAGCCCCTTATAGAGTCTGGCATTACCCATCTAGTCATGGGCAAATGCATATCTGAGGACGGGGATTGTCAAGGGAAGGGTCAGGTCTCCTCCAGGCCTTTAATGGAGTTGGAGTTGCTCCCCTTTAACATACTTTTCATTGGGGAATGCTTGTCACATTGCTCAAGAATTTCACTGTAGATGGCGGTGATGTCATACATACACACACACACATAAAATGAAGCTTCTGTTTCAATGTAATGCACACATGACTGGGGGGAAATACTGCTAGCAAGTCCACTTTCTTGTGCTTTAATCAGCTGTGTAGTTTTCAGTGTTTCATTGCAGGCTTGGAGTTTGGATGACAGACAAAGTTTTCAATAGCAAGCAGGGTACCAGCTGGTCGGTTCTGCATGTTCCATTTCCCCTCATGATGATGGATGAGATGGAAACCATGTCTGTTGGCTTTTGTCATAATGCTGCTGGCCAAGATTTGAGTCCTGAAACTGATATTTTCTCTCTCACTTTTAAATCAGGGCCAGATGCAAATAAATATTATGGAAGGCTGTATCTAGGTGAATGCCCTTCCTTGTTGGTATCACTCACTAAATTCTTAGTTTCTTTGTTTTCTTGTCTTAGTAAATCTAGTGTGGCCTAGATAATCTATGGAATGCCCACAAATATGGCCCACATAGACTAAACAAGCCCAATTGCAGAGGACAACTCTGGTGTCTTAAATCTGACTAACTAGTGATAAGTGGTTCTCTGTTTAGAGAAAATAAATCTTACAAAAATGCAGGAAATGGCTGATAAATGCCTCTTCACTTTTGAAAAGGCTGACATGGAGAATATGCAATATATCATTTTGTATTTTTATGATTCCCACCCCACCCACCTCCCTCCCTATGTAGGAAACAGCTGTGGTCTGAGGTGGCTACTAACCTGTCCATGTGGTAGCCCACCAGATGCACATTCTGGGAACTGAAGCATATCCCATTCTCACAAAATGTTAAGTCAAATAACCATTTTCAAACTCTGGGATAAAGATCACTTTTGCCACTTTCCCCTGGGCTCATCCCAAATCCAGATCCAACCACTGGGCTCATTTTGAGAAGTCTTTCTTTGGGTTACACCATGCCAGGCTTCCCTTTCAACTGTTCTCAAAGTTCTTCATTTGACAGTGGAATGGAGAACTCTTTCAATGGCCTAAGCAGCCATGCTGAAACAACTTCAAAATACAGTAGAGTCCTGTTGTCTCAAAATGTGTCTGTTCATTTATTTTTCTCTTCTTGTTAGTAGCGCAGACATTTATGGTTTGCATCCCAAACTAAACCTGATTTTAAACTGTTGAGCAGGGCAGGGCTGATATTACCCTGGTGTCACGGGAATTAGTAAGAAAAATGTATATTGCACACACTAAGAACTTATTAACAACCAAGTTAAAAACAAAATGGCGCTGTCTTCCTCAGTGTTCCTGTAACCGTGTACTCAGGGATGTCTCCAATTTCTGTTCAGTCCAGTTGCCCTCTCCTTATTGCAGTACAGGTTGTACTTTCTTCTGCCTATGGATTTACTGTAAAATAAATGACACATACACACACATGCACACGCACACACACACATACAGAAAAAAGAAAGGAAAATAGATCTGATTTCCTTTGGAAGATCCATTGCATCGCCCCTCTTCTTGAATGGTTTGGTTCAGCACTGGAGAGGCTGGGGCTAGGGAGACCCCGCTCTCACCCAGAAGATCTGTCAAGGGCAGTTATAACCCTGTTGCTCCCAGGGACATCCCAGAGTTGTCACCCATGCATGGAATCTCCTGCATGGTTTGGGGGAAATCGTGGCTCACCACCCGTCCATTTTCGCCACTGCTGGTTCCTGCTGCAGATGCTCTGGGAAGGGTTGATGTCCGTATGGCTTCATTGATTGATTGCTGTGGGATCAAACAAAAACCCTTTTTGAGAGAGACAAGGGGGGTCTCCCCCTGTCCTTAATAGTAGTTTCATAATCACAATAAGCTACATTTCAGTACTATTCCTTATCTCCAAACTACGTGTTCTTTTGGTCCCCCCCCACTCCATTTCACTCCTTTATGGTGCTTTCCATACACAATGTAGGCATCTTTAAACTGAAGTTGTTGTAGCTTGACATTCACTGGTGACCACACTGGACTAAGCAATATTCCTTGAACCATCTCTCATGACAAATATAAATTATGTCCTAGGGATATATGACTTAGGTGGATTCAGTAACGGATCCACCTCACATCCTACAGCATGCTATCCACCCAATTGCTATGTGCTGATGAATTGTGGTGGTTAAAGTATAGAAAGCAATGCTTCTTGCCCACCCCCAAAGCATATTCCCTGTTTCAACATCAAAACTAGGTTTGCAGCAACAGCACTCCAAGGAGATTACTTATCAGCATTTGAACAAAAATGTGGTATTTTGCCATCATGTCAGCACTTTTTGTGTTGGCCAGTGTTTTGAAGAGGCTACAAAATGGTCATTGGTGTATATTGTGCATCCCTGTTCTTTGTACGGACCTCATCACATGATGAAGTTTTAGCATCCTAGAACGCTGCTGTCCTAGTTGAGCGATGGAGCCCCCTGCTGCCCATAACATGAGGTAGTCTCGTTTCTAATGGGGCTTGTTGCTCATTGTTGTTCAACTGAGGTGGCAGTGTGGTGGGGATATTTGGAACAATGGGGCTACTGTGAGGACAAGCTGCATAGTAAGGCTTCCCCACATGTGATTGGGAAGCATTGCTGCCAGTCAGGTGGGATGTGGGGTGCTAGGATTTCCCTGCTGCCTCACCAATTCACCATGGAGACTGGTGAATCGGCTTAGAGGACCTCATCAATGTGATGAGATCCATAATCCTGTTAACCTTCACTCAGAAGAACCAGGTGTGAAGTATCTCTTTAAGGTAGAAAGACTGCTATTATTGTAAAATAGCTGCATTCAGTTACAAAAAACATTATTTCATTTGTTAAATTTCTGTTATATAGAGTGGCCACTAGTGACAATTGTGTCCGTAGGGTAGTAAACCCACTCCAGATTTTGTGCAAACATTAAATGAGATATTCATCACCCAAAATAGGCTCTACACTTTGGATATCTCTTTAATGTTTGGCATACATTAATTCATTGCCCTTCTGATGTGGAAGGGGGACAGCTACCATTGCAAATACACTTGAGATAGAGAAAATCGTACTTGAATTCCATATACATTTTCTTCACAGCTTGTATGTGGTGGTTAGTGGTGGACAGGGAGAAGATTTCCCAACCTATCGACAGAAAATCAATCAACATTTTTCATTTCCTGACCCAGTCAGGCAGGAGTTCAACAAGGAGAATATTGGCTCTGGAGGAACATTTGGAGGGCAGAATAGACCAGAAGAGGAATTTGATCAGGGAGCTCTCGCTCATTTCTAAATATTCTTCCCTGGAAATGCGCTTTGTTTTCATATTCCTACTTTACTGACAAATCAGAGGCTAGATTACAAATTTACTCTGATAATCTGTAAATCTATGCTACTTGCAGTATATGTAATGTTGTTGCTGGGTGATTAATGTAGTTAACCCAAAAACCTAGTCCTGAAACTTGTAACTGAATGATGAACAAGAGTTATTTCAAAATGAAATGTTTTGGGAGAGTTATTTTTTTCTAGGGTGCTGTGTCTTTCTATCTCATCACATTGGCAAAATTGCCTATCCGATGACAGTTTGACCTTACTTCAGGCACAGAGGCCTTCTGGATCCCTTCTATTAGGACTCTGTTCCTAAAGTGAGATCAAACTGTCATAACAGGCAGTGCCAGGACCACGTGTTCAATAGGGAAGAATGGGGGGAAGCTGGGCAGTGACACTTCCTCCCGTGGGATGAGGTGCAAGGCAACGGGTTCCCCAGACCCTATGCTGGATTCACCACAATCTATTGCAAATCCCCCTGCTATCACTCAGCTCATTCACCTCAATGTGATGAGGTCCTTAGTGATTAGTGTTATCATAAGTAGAAGAGCCAACTATCAATCTGTGTGAGGAATAGCTTTGCTCATATGGTAACAATAATACTATGTCCTCTGAGATGGTTACATTTGTGTATACAACTTTCACCAGGGTAGACATACTTCTTGGTCTGGCTCAGAGCTTGGAAACTACATACTTGTTGGCATATTCTATTTTTTATCAGTGATAAAATAGTTCAATGCCACCTCATACCCTATGTTTTCTGTATCGCTGCAGCAGTATTAATTAAAATTGCAAGGGATTTTACTGGTCCATACCCCTCAGTGAGGTGAGGAATACTGGAAATTACAATCTGATTCCTACATCTGCATTTTGTGTTTGTACATTGTTCTCGTGTGCTTTCTTTACAAGAATGAACACTAGAAAACAGATGCAGCACTGTTACTTTGACTGTGCAACAAATGCTCATTTGTGACATAAATTCACAGGTCACTCAATAAAACTAAGTTGATGGGCAGAGGCAAGATGTTTCACAGCTTTGGAGCTTTCAGTGATGCTACAGTGTCTCAATCTGCTCAAATATTCAATGACAGATTCCCCACAATGGCTTCTCAAGGCCAGCCAAGTAAGACATTAGCCTAGAGCAACTGAAATTAGCCTTTTAACAGGTATAAGGAGTGAATTAACCTGGTCTGTTTTCATTTCTAAGTTGTATTTCAAAACACATTCCCTTTTGTGTCTGTGTTTTAAGAATATTCAACATACTTTATCTTAACAATCTTAAAAATAAACCATTTGTGAAAAAAACCCTTATTTAGAAAAGAAAATGTGTAGGTGGTGTGATGGACTGTTTTTGGGTCCCTAAATTTATAATTTCTCCCCTAAGAGCCATCTTGACCTTGGCTAAATGTGTTTCTAAAAGGCTATGATGAATCTGGCTGGTATCAGAAAGAAGGTGTGAAAGGCCTGTGAATGTGTTGCCACCTTCATCCGTTTTGATTCACTTCTGGACTTGTAACAAAACTCGATTAAGGCAACCAGCATGGCTAGTCCAAGCCCACCGATGAGGATGTAGAAAACACCGGCCACATTGCTGAGACTCAAAGCACTTGTTTTGTCCTATAAGAGAAAGGAAAGGGGGAAAGGGTTGTGGAGAGGTTGGGAATGGGGAGAAAGAATATGTTAACATGGTTTCTTAAAAGCTAGACATACATACTTAATAGGATAACAATACCACTGGGGAGCCACCACTCTGAAATACACATATGACCTTTCAACAGCCTTTCTTTATATCTTAAATATCCTTCTCCAACTGGAAACACAAAAATGACTAAACATTTCAGCATGGCTGTGGCTTTCTAACTCTTAGGGAAAGGTTTTAACTAGATTATTTTATAAAGATTCCACACTCTTAGATATCTATTTGTCCCAAATGTCTAGCTAGTTTTAGTTATTGATTTAAAAAAATGATCTGTGTGCTGACATTTGCTAGTTCCCAATTTCTTTGCACTCCTAAAATAACCCACTCTCTTAGAAATGCCTGTTCCTTTCTTCTTTGATTGTTTCCCCCGCAACTTCTGTTGCTGAGCAACAAATCAGAATCACTTATTCCATTCCCCTCCATCACGTCCTTCCTCCATTGTGCTAAAACCAGGTTGCAGTGACACTGAATGGATTCTGTCCCTAGATATGCAATAGATTTTTCTTTAATAAAGCAGTTATTTTATGTCTATTTTCTAGCAATGTATTTTAAAATCTTTATTTTATTGATAAGAAGGATTAGTCACCACTTAATAATGTTTTGCCCTTTATTCTGATTATAACCTGATTTTATAAGCATCTACCAATTCATCTGAACATGTTAAATTGGTATAATTATTACATAGGAAGAAACTTGAGTTTTTCAGCTTTATATTAGAGGAATTGAAAACACTGGTGCCTAATATGACTAATATTCTAGTATCATCTGATTCAATCAAAATGCCGGAAAAATTAAATAACTACTTGGTTCTGAATCTAAATGTGCAAAATGCCATTTTCCTCTTAGTTAATGCAGAGATGACAGACGTTTGCTGAGCTTTATCTGATGTTCTCAAAAGAAATGTTTGGGCAACTGGAATCTCATGTTATCTATTTTCAAATCCCAGGAAAATTGCTCTGTCTGAAAAGGTAAGATAGAAAGGATTTTATATGTATATGCATCTGAGGCTGGATCTACATTGCCCTATATCCCAGGATCTGTATTCCAAATCTTTCCTGGATTCTGAGGCCCTTGAAATGATATATTCATGTACAAAAAAGAATTATTTTTGTTATGACTGCTATAAGTCTACAATCCTGTCAATGGGATGGTCTACACATTGTCACTAAAATTTAGTGACAATATCCTGTGCTCTAATCAAATACTTTAGAATGTGAAATACCTCCACTTAGAGATGTGATTCTTCACTTAGTTTTTCCTTGAAGGAAGCAATGATTAATTTTAGGAATTGTTTCCACTAGGGAGAAGTCGTCAAAAAACCCTGTTTTTAAAATTTGGGACTTCTTCTGAATAAAATTTACACATTCCCACAGAAACAGCTTTTTCTTGCATAGTAACAATCTTTCATTTCATTCAATCATGTGAAATACTATACAAAATAAGTCCTGAACGGCAGATTCTCATCAATCTAGAGTTGTACACAACACAGTTTCTTGACACTTGGATTTCTTCTCTTTCCAGCCCTACTTTCCATCCCTCCAAAAATAAATCCGTCTACTACATTTTAGAATATGTGTCTGCCTTAATTCATGGTAGCCCAAAGGAACAGGAGGGATCCCAGTGAATTCTAACTCTGATTGAATCCCGCCCCCCGCCCCCAAATGGGTACTGGCATTATTTATTTTTCTATCCAATAGCTCCTGAGTAAACCTTAGCTATTCATCAGCTGAAGGCCACATATCCAAAATCAATAGTCTAAATTGTATTATTAGTCTCAATTAGAAGAGACCTACTGAGTCTATGGTATTTGCATATGTATTGATTCTTGGCATTAAAAAAATTAATGGGTCTACTTTTGTCTGGAGTTATCTGGAGTTCGACAGCCATGATACTAACAGGAGCGGAGCGCAGGGAGCATACAACTCCTCTGCTGCGCCAGCTCCACTGGCTACCAATCTGCTACCGGGCACAATTCAAAGTGCTGGCATTGACCTATAAAGCCCTAAACGGTTCTGGCCCAAGTTACCTATCCGAATGTATCTCCGCCTATGAACCCACCAGGACTTTAAGATCTTCTGGGGAGGCCCTGCTCTCGATCCCGCCTGCATCACAGGCACGTTTGGCGGGGACGAGGGACAGGGCCTTCTCAGTGGTGGCCCCCCGGCTGTGGAACGCCCTTCCCATGGACATTAGATCAGCCCCCTCGTTAATGGTGTTTCGAAGAAGACTGAAGACCTGGCTGTTTGAACAGGCATTTGGATAAACAGTGCAACGAATATAATGAATATAAGAAAACGGAATTACGGATGACGAGTTTGGATCACGATTCTAGTTACGAGATGTTAATGTGTTGTCTATTGATGTGTAGTTACTTAGTATATTACGGTGTTAATTGTTTTTAAATAGTGTATGTTGTTAGCATTGAATTTTTGCTCTTGTTGTAAACCGCGTTGAGTCGCCTACGGGCTGAGAAACTGCGGCATACAAATAAAGTAAATAAATAAAATAAATAATTGACCAGATTAAGGTCTTTGAGTATACCTGAAGCTTCTTCTGCTGTGGCTTCTAGAAATATACTACTGTGCTTCTTGATGTATCTTTAGTTTTGTTGAAGTTCATTTTGAAACAATGGCATGGGAGTTTCATGAGCAGACTTTCCAAGATGCTTTCCAGAGGAAGTTGAAAGTGTAATCAAAGTAATGTTGCATACATTGATTAAAATATTCTTTCCTTTTTAATAGAGTCAGTGCTATAAATAGTCAGACTTTAACTCCAGAATTTAAGCCAATGAACAAAGCCTTCATATTTGACAAAGAGGACCACCACATATTTGGCACAGGACCTCTTCACATGGCCCTTTTGGGCTGTGCCATTGTGCTGGCAATCACCGGTGAAAGGAAGGCATGCGAGGGTGGCTCGTGGCACTCCACGTGCCCTCCTTCCTCTCCTTATCACACGAAGGGGATGGGAGAGGGTACTTTGGCACCCTTTCCTTTCTCCATCAGATGGCAGATAGGGCGACATGTCACACTGTCTACCTGTGTTGCCCCACATGGCAAAAAGGGGAGTAAAGTTAAATACCCATCTAATTAAAATTCTGATGTTCAAACTCCCTGCTTCTAGTTACTCATTGGTGGAATGGAAAAATTCTGCAGTATAGTCTCATTATTATGTTAAAGAACGATTTGTGCTGTGTTCCCAAGTCGATTTATGAGTGTTTAGATCAAGATATGCTCTTTGTGCTATTAAAACAAATAATTGGGGAGAAACAGGAAAAGAAAGTGAAATGTTTAAAGGTTCATGGAGTATATACCCTTCTCTAAAATCTCATAGATTTCCAAAGATTGGCTGGTGGAAACATATGCAAATATCAGCGCTTTACCACTCTTAAGGTCAGTGTGTGCTTCCAATAAGGACATGCATTGTAGAGAAACATTGAAATAGATCCAAGTTTAAATGGCTCTGCAAGAACTGTGCCATGCACCCATCTGGTCAATGTCTCGAGGCCTAACATTCATATTGGGGGAAAACATCTGAGAGACATGAATCATTAGAATAGCTTCCCCTCCTGCTACTGCAAGTACTATAGACTAGAGAAAATGATATTAAAAACATAGCGTACAAGGCTGACTGAAACTTGGCCAAAAAAGTAATACTGAAAGTGAGAAAAAAACAAAAGGTATGGGGGGGGGGGGGGRGGAGKGGCAGGATTATCACAATTTACATTTAAGCGTTGAATGGGAAAAGAAGTACTTTGTGGCTTCTTTATTTTATTTTATTTTGCTTGAATTCTGTTGTTTCTAATTGCAGAGTGGCCTTTGTGTATGTGGAAAGAATAGTTATTGTCTTGCCATCTCAGTTCTTTCCCAGTTGCGTCTTGGCACTGCGGTCACACACACTCTCTGCAAAGGCAAGGCAACAATTTCTGCCTGCCATGGTTTGCCTTGGCTTCTTGGCTCCAAAAGCCCTCGCCTGCTGTTTTTGTACACGCTCCAGACTTAATAGCACGAATAATAATAGACTAGGAAGAAAGGGACCAATCCTATACAAAATGCCCAGGAGAATGAACCCCTTCTGCTGAGCAGCAGAGCCATGTCATTTTGGGCTTTGTGACAAATGCTCTCCCAAGGTGCTTTGCCCATCATGCAGCCGGCTTATTAGTGGGAGTGTAAATGTCACAGCTTGCCTCCTGCAGGGAGAGAGTTAACGGTATGAAGGGAGAGAAAGAAGCAAGGAAGGGGGAAGATTGGCAGGTGAAAAGCAAGCAATAAGCCGATCTTTCCGAAATGCCCCAGTATTGTTGCCATGGTGATAAGCACCTTCCCTCGTCAGCTCTTTTTGAGCGGGCGGCAGTTTCTCTATCATCCATGGTTATTGCCATTTCATGCTGCTCTGTCATGACTCTTCCAGTCCCAAGGTTTTTGCCTCTCCCCTAAATGCTCCTTCAGTTTATGACCAAGGACCCTGGAATTGTTTTGAAGGTGTGCTTGTATGAGGTAGTGGTAGTAGTTCAACATTTGCAGGTAGGGTGCGATCCTTTTTGTTTACTTGCAGGTACTTGCAAGAAGATGGCCAAATACTTTTCTCATCCTTTAAAAAGAATGATGTTTAGTGTCCTTCACATGCTTGGTGTAGCTTATTTGTGAGTGTATGTTTGTGTATGTAAGCTTGGTGTAGCTTATTTGTGAATGTAGATTATAGATGGCCTTTATTGTCAGGTGCAATTTGAGAAATTGCAAGTCACTTCTGGTGTGAGAGAATTCGCTTTCTGTAAGGATGTTGCACAGGGGATGTCCGGATGTTTTGATGTTTTACCATCCTTGTGGGAGGTTTCTCTCATGTCCCCGCATAGAAAGCTGGAGCTGACAAAGGAGCTCATTTGCGCTCTCCCTGGATTCGAACATGTGACCTATGTGAT